GTTTTATCAACTTTTTCCAATTCAACATCATCAATTTTAATATTCAAAACCGAATTTACTTTTTCATTAAAAATCATATAATTACATTTTTTGGTATTCAGAGCAATTTTGTTAAATTTTAACCAGTCACATAATTTTATCAACTCTAAATTCATCTTCTCAATGGCTTCACATGATGTTTTGGCTGTTATGCTTAACAATGTATCATCAGCATACATCAATACATCACATTCGACCACTTTTACGATGTCATTAATGTAGATAGTAAACAATGTATTTGAAATTTTAGAACCTTGTGGAACTCCACATTTAACTTCTACTTCTGAACTATAAATCCCGTTTACTTTTACTATTTGTCTCCTATTAGTCAAATAACTATTAAACCATTTAATAGTGTCCTCCGAAAAATTATAATTATATATAATTATAATTATATATATCACTATAATTATAATATTGAGAATCTTTTATCCATGGATCATGAATTATATAAAAGTTCTGATAGCTCTTTACATTGTCGTCGTCGCTCAAGTTCACGGGCTTCATATCTTCATCATAACATCATCATCGATTAAAAATACACGAAGTCTTTTTTTTTCTGTAACTGCATTAATTTTTCTTATAGATGTATAGACATGCGAGTATGTATATTGCATGTTTTTGTTGATATTAAGTCGGATGGGATTGTCTGTTGAGAGTTTTGTTACTTGTTGGTGTCGATGGCGCATTTTTGGATGAAGAGTTATAGAGAATAAATTCAAGACTGCCTTTAATGACACCAATGCCTTGACACAATTAATACGTAGATTTAATCTTAGATTGTCAACGATTCTTTGAAGAATATGCTTCCTTAGTCATATAAAAACACCATACTCTAGCCATTCCATTCCAAACTTGAATAAATCACAAGTCAAACCGACCATATCCCGCACAATGAACAACAAAAACAGCACCGAAAAGAAATTTTTCATTACAAATGTGAAGGAAACCTTTACAAAAAGAAACATTTGAAGCTACACGAAATTGAATTTTTACATTTTTGTGGGTCACACGAACGTAAAAATAGTGTCGAGCACGCAAATGTGCACATATTCGTTTTGATGTACGCGACATAGATGAAAGGTAGCGATAAAACCAGCTCGTAGACACACACAATACAATTGATTTTCGGTGTTTCTAATGTCTGAATAGCTTGACCTTGTAGCAGTGCAATGTCCCATAAAAGAGGAAATCTCATTCAACCGTAAAGGAATAAATTACGTGGAGCAAAAATCGTGCAGATTATGATGATGCCAATCGAATTACATAACAGATATAGATGAATTTTTCTTTTATTTTTTTGTGAAATCATAAATTATATGGAAATGCTCGATGCCTTTGATAATTCGATTTACCCTCATGACATGACTATGATGATAGTTTATTTTCAAGCAACAAAATATAAAACATTAAATTGAATCAAAACGTGAGAGAATTTCGATAATTTATTCAAAGCAAAAAAAAAAATCATTATTTTTGCTATATTTATGGCTTCCTCTAAACTCATTCGTAATCATCTTCATCAAATGATGATGTAATTCTAATCTATAATAATAAAGTGAGGTCTGAGATGAGAAGAATTTTTAATGGATCGTGAATTATTAGTTTTGATACGGCTTTTTTTTCTTTATTGTTATTGTTGAAAAGTCTTTGTTGCTTTTGGAATGTGTACTTTTGAGGGTTAGTCTCGAAGGGTGCGAAACTGATCAACTGAATTTTTGTTTAACACATCATCTGAGGTAAAGATCGAATCCTAGCCAAACCTTGTATTAAACCTAGTTTACTTTTTATTAATATCCAAAAGTAAGCTTTAAGACTCTAGGTTCTAGACTTTACATCACAAAAAACCAATCAACAACAATACCACTTATCCGTTAACAATCTTTGTCATCATGATCATCGAAACCTCTTCAATGACGGAATGAAACAACAATCGTGTACAACACAAGGAAGTTTAAAATTTCATGGAACAGTACGCAAAGAATATCAAGAATAGATCTTGTATTAATAAATTCACACGCATCTAAATTATATTCATGGGAGAGAATTCAATCGCTTAATTTATTCAAAATCATCCTTCACATTTACGTACACATAAAAATCACTTTAAATTTTGAAGCAAAACAAAGTATTAGATATTCCAATTCTTCATGTTTTTAGAAATAACATACAGAAGCACAGCGCGTAGAAGACGTGAACTTCATTTGAATAATAATAATAATAATCATGAGGCTGTCGTAGAGAAAAGAAAGAAGAAGAAGAAGGAACTTTTATTGATGGGAAGACAGAAATAGCGCTTTTTTGGCATTTCAAGATTTTTGACGGTTTAATGCTTGGGAATGTGTGTGATCGTTCTGAGTTTGATTTGCTGGAATTGAGTTAGATTGAGACTGATTAATTTGTATTGAATTGAAGTTAGATTTGAAGTGAAATTATGGAGTAAATTAGACATTGAGATTGATTTTGACAGTAATTTTGGTGATGGATCATGTTTTTGAAGTAGATTGATACTTTCTGTATAATACAGCTTCAAACTGGACTAACAACAGGTTTAGAATTTAGGTTATCAAGATAATCTCAAGATCCTTCTCGGTGAAAGCAGCAAAATAATAATTTTGGCGCCAAATTAATTCTTAATTCATCCTGAACGTAATATCATACTCAGATGACATTGTATCCAACAATGTAATGATTTTGTGACAAAATAATAGATTTTCAATCATTTCACAGTCACAGCACTTTAATAATTGTCTGAATGCCAACTTAATCTACATTAAAGTACAAATCGGTCAACTAGTTCAATTTCATCAAAAAAAGAAAACAAAAATAATTTTTGACAGTCACGAATTCCAACTTGTCATCCACAAAACCATGCTAAAAAGTGAATGGTAGAATTAGAAACTCAATGTTTCCAATACTTTTCCTCTCATTCTCAATCACACAAAAAGGTTGAGAGCAAAAGACAACAACTTTAAGTGAGGAACAAATGTAGACATTTAAGTGAATTATAATGGAATAAAACTTTTTGTAATAAGATACCGATCAATCATATAATATTGAGTGAGATAATGACTGTGTGCGACAATTGTTTACATTGGATGTATTGTAAATATTTAAATTCTCAATCTTTTTGCATTTCATTGAGCTACGGTGACATTGAAAATCAAGAAAAGAAAAGGGGAGTGAAATTTTGTTTTTCGATTAATATTTACTTGTCAGGCATGTATGCATAAGATATCAGTGGAATTTGAGTATATGTTAATATTAATGTCTTTAGGGGGAATTTTGTCAGAAATTTTTGAAATTATATTGTTGTCTAGGTTTAGACTTAGTTTGGGTAAAGATGTTTTTCTGATCCAACTGTCGGACTAGGTTTAAAAACTAAGGAACAAAGACAGACTTGTGTTTTGTTTGAGGTAATAAATTTATTGCTAAGTTTGCTCTAAGTATCATCCAAGTATAGCTTAAAAGTATCCAAATGGTAAAGTCTAGTTTAATCGTAGGGACTAGATTATAAATATATCAGAGAAACTGAGCAATCAGCTCAAGAACCTCTTGATCATAGCTTAGACTTCATTTGACCTTGAATCACCAACTTAACAACACAAATTCCCGCCAAAACAATCGCAAAGACGTCAACAAATTCCCCCAATCTACCTTCATAATCAACATTCAAATATATTCGTCACATCAAGTCTCCTTCATAATTTCCATAAAGGTAACCAATTTTTTATCGTACACGATAAAATAAACAAGCAAATTCTAAGCCACAATGTTATGTTGAACTCTTATCTAATTCTATCCATCACAATTTATATTTAGAATTTATTAACACACATAAATGTTTAACTTAGGTCATATAGAAATGAAAATGTTTGCCGTCAGTTGTTGATTGCAACGGAAACAACTTAAATGAGGCTTTATGCGAATTGCAATAAATGAAAAAAATTCCGATAAACGTTGGAAATTAGTTCAGGTTGCTGCATTTCTCTAAATAAATTCCATTTCCTACACATTGCACCCTCAAAAACCAATTTTTTATAACATTTTGTTTACAACTCAATACAGGTGTTTGATACCTTCTTTATGAGAGCACAGAATTCTCTTCGTAAATATTTTTCTGTATAATTTTACAATTTGCTTTTGTGTTGCACTTTTTTTTTCTTTTGTGGATGAATAGGCTCTTTTTTATTTTAACCAAAAGATATCCTTAACATTCAAGAATCACGTATTTTATAGACTTAATCTCTATATTTCTTCTGTATGTATACTTTCTATTCTTCTTGAATTATTTTGTATTAGCTATTGGCACTAGCTTTTATTTAATGGATAATATAGTTGTATTTTGTCTGGTTGTCTGGCTGTTTTTTTAAATGCAGTTCACAAAAATATGCCCTAGCCTAACCTTAACCTACTCTTAACCATTTCAAAGATCCAACTAAGTCTTGATCCTAAGACTCGAGTCGACTCAACTTTTTTCTGAGATCTGGTCTTGAGATCTTCTAAGATCTGGTCTTGAGCTCTGGTCTTGATAGAACGGTATATTGTCTTTGTAGAAATCAATCGGTTCTATTCTCGGTAATATAGTGGTGAATATCAGAACTAGCCTTATCTGAACAACAGATACCTCCCAAATAAAATGCGTCTCCTTCATCCATCTCCCAAATGACATTGTTTGCACTTTAATTCTCAATGCAACAAAATAAAGAGAAGAAGAAGAATAAAAATCCGTGCATAATATGAGTCCTTATTCAGGTACCAAAATCATCATCACAGTCATATCTTTCTCCTACTCATGTTACTGAAGATATTTTTTATGTACACACAGTCTCAAAAAAAATGTGATCGATAAATGATTCTATGGAGAATGTTTGAACAAAACATAAAAAAAAAATCCATACTTTGCAAAATTAATGTTATACAGTAAGGGATGAATAAAATTTCTGCAAAATGAAATTTACTTGCGAATTTGAGTTATCCTTGAAAATCGATGTCCTAGATTGAAACTTCTTATTTTTTCTCGCTTTTCGAGTTTTCTCGAAAAATAAAAAAAATATTTGCAATTCAAATTCACACACTCAATATTTTCTTATTTCTCTTATCACTTGCACATTAATTTGTTTTCACCTCATAAATTTATTTTTTATATCATTTTCTTCTTTTATTTTATTTTTTTTTTAACTTTCAGGCCGACACTACAAGCACTTGCACGATAGTTGTTTTCTTAATTTTATTAACAAGGAATTTTTTTTGCTGATAAAATTTCACTTAAAAAACTTTATTTTTACAGTGACCCTTTTGCATAAGTAGTTACATGACTATTTTTAACTTTATATTGTTTCTTGTGCGATAAAAATAAAAGAAAAGTCTGTTTTAAGAGTAAAATGCACTTGCACAAAAGGAAAATTCCGAAAATTCCTTTCAAGTCTCCCGAATTTTCTTTTTTGCCGCAAACTATTGTTATATACGAAAGAACGGAAAAAAATTAAAAATATACGAGAAGCATAACGTTGCTCGCTTAAAAATCATTCAAGACTGAGGGAAATATTGTATATAGCATGCGAGAGAGAAATTCGCATAATTTGAGTAAATTCTCTCTCGGGCTGTACGTTGTATTGCTGGCTAGTCATTTTGTGATGGAATACATCTCTTTCAACTTTTCGATACTTTAAAAAGAGATAATTTTCGTTAAAATTTCAGGAAAAAATAAAACTTCTGAGTCAACTGTCCAAAACTTCAAATTATAAAAATTACAACATAGTAGTTTTCCCCTTTCAAACAAAATATTCATTCTGTTTTTGAACTCCGAAGAACAAACATCGTGTACATTTTTATTAAAACTGTATTGAACTTTTATTCTATTTAGAATCCGTAAGGAATTATATTAAATTGCAAATGCAAGTAAATAGAGTTATAAAATACACAGCATTCAACATTATTACAGGAAATAACCTCAAAATTTCTCAGAATTAGAATAATTGAAATTAAGCTCCAAAACAAACCTAATAAAAGCAAAAGTGTGCTTAAAAATTTTTCATTCGATTTCGATATTTTGAAGAGAACAGACATATTCACTTCTTATACACGTGATCAACTACTAAGCACTGTTTTATTTTTGATTTTCAAAGAAACACGTCTTTATGTTTTTGTTCGTGTTTTTCAACTGATTTATTTATTTTCTCAGATTACTGAGATCATTATTTTACATCTCCTTTCTCTTATCAATTGAGATTGCAGTTGTTTGGTCAGATATGGAAGATGCGGTATTTGCATCAGAATTCAGAGGAGGTTCATGCAGTGAGTTATCAGCGAAGAAGTTATCAAGATTGATTCTATATTAGACTATTGATTCTATTGTTTTGATTGATTATATTGATTATATATTGATTCTATATAGACTCTCTTTTGATCAATTTGATTGGATACTGTTGACCTATAAGTTCTGATAAATTTAGAGTTTGTTCTAATAACCCTATTACTATCCATACGAATTTGTATGATTTTTCGAAAAAAAATGAAGAAATAAATAATGATAATAATAATAATTTCATATGATCTAGGCTCTGAACATTTCTTTACGATTGATCCTTTCGACCATGTTTTATTGGGCAATTGTACTCATACCTTTTGATTAACATCGAACTCATCACGTACATATGCATTTCGATTGTAATATATTTTCGTTTTATTTTGCTTCTTTTTGAATTTTTCACCTAAATTGTGATTTAACTTAGGCTTTAGCAAGCTATCTTTCATAATGATTTTAGTCCTCATTCTTCTATTGTTAAGCAATTGAATAGGAGACAAGTCAATATCAGCTAACGGAATATTATTATAATTGTATATTGCTATTAGAACTTGAAACTATCGCATTTCCTCATCATATTTTTAACTATTCCTACAGCTTTCTCTGCAAGACCATTCGACTGTGCATAACGAGGCCTTGATGTCACTATGTTAATGTCCCACTCAAGGTCAAAACTTTTACATTCAAATTTAAAAATCTCAATGAATTTATGAATTATAGCATTTGAATTTTTGGAACTTAAATATTTACAAGAAATCCATTTCGAAAAGTAATCCATAACAACGAGATTTTTAGGATTCGGAATGTTGTTAATTGCTGAAATCCTTTCTAGATCAACATCTACTTTATTCTCAGAAAAGATATGGCCAAAGAATTTTACTGAGCTTTGTGTGAATTGTTGTGTGAATTGTAATTTTTTCTGATTGAACTTAACACCTGACTTTAATGCCCTGACCATTAATTTCCTAAATCCTCGTCATGTTCTTTAAGCGTTTTTAGTAACAATGATATCGTCAATATAAAATTTGATTTCAGGTAAATCGCCAAAATTATCTGTCATGTACTTTTGGAAGATTTTTGATGCAATATTTATCCCAAAAGGCATTCGATTGAATTGCCACAAACCGAAAGGAGAACCAAACGTACACAACTTTTTGGATTCTTCGTCTAATTCTATATGCCAGAAACCATCTTTGAGGTATAAAACCGTAAAATACTGAGAATCTTTTAAATCTTGTTTTAATTCATCAAGAGATGGTATCGGAAAGTGAAACTTATTCAATGCTTGATTCAAACACTTTGGATCAATACAAATTCTTATTTTATCTCCTTTTTCAACAATTACGATACTATTAATCCATTCACGCTGTTCACTGACACGTGAAATGATTCCTAATCTTTCCATTTCAATTAATTTATTCTGGAGCTTATTCTTCAACTTAAATGGAATTCGACGATTCTGATTCGCCACCTTTTAAACATATCTATACTAATAGTATTAACCTGCGATCCAGTATCCAACTTAAAATTGATCATTTTATCATGCACGAGTAACTTTTTACACCAAACATTGCTTTCTGCATGTTCCTTAAGTTCATCACAATTGACTATAACATTAGACTTACAGTTTTCGCGTTCTTTAACTGCACAGACCTTCTCCTTCCTCTTTTTGCCTTTTAAATTCTCAACGCTGTTGCTTTTAACTTGAGCTTTTTCACTTTTATTCGACGTTAGTTTGCTTAGGATACGTTGGTCCACTGCTGATAGTTGATTTACATTGATACTGTCTAATGCTATTTGGGCTAATTGTTGCTGATTGTAATAATATATTTTGATTTTGCTGATCAAAGTATGCAATGACTTTTCTTGAGATAAAATGAGCTTTTCTCGCAAATTGTTGTTGTGCAGACCGAAAAAAATTTGATTACGAATGGCTTCTTCTTTGAATTGATTAAATTCACAGCTATCAGCTTGGGTTTGAACGCCCCTAATGAACTGATCGACTGATTCACATTCCTTTTTCATAATTCTGCTTCTCTGGACCCGTTAATGGTAGATTCTTGATGATGTCCACTGACTTATATCCCATCAAAAGTGTTAATAAATTAAGTTTGATCTTGTCAGATTTTTTATCAAGTTCGTTAACAATTAGATACGAGTTGAATTCTGTTTAAAATCGTTCCCATTCAATTTTTGACGAAGAAGCTTCAAAATTGAATTCCTTTAAACTTTTATACGACTGCGCACTGTTTTATTTTTGATTTTCAAAGAAACACGTCTTTATGTTTTTGTTCGTGTTTTTCAACTGATTTATTTATTTTCTCAGATTACTGAGATCATTATTTTAGAACCACACTTTTTATAAAGACTATCCAAAGAGAACAAATCCATCATTTATAATTCCATCAGTAATTGACTACCCTTAAGCCATCCGTTTGTTTACAATTATTAAGGCAAAAATAACTCTTTGATATTCTTTTCATCACTTTAATTAATTTAATTAAATAAACCGTTGAGAATTTGTAAACGGGTAATTTTAAATTCAAATTAATAAACAGAAGCTATTGCCCTTCAGAAATCGTCGTAGCTTATTACAGCTTAATTTTGTATAATATTTCTCCTTTTAGAAGTACTCTTAATTAAGCTTTAATCAGTCGTCACGCAATAAATCTAATTACTTAACATCTCTTACAGATTACTTGCTGTGTATTGTGAAAAATCAAAGACTTTGACTGTAAAATGGAAGATCCAGTAAATATTGAGTTATTAATTGAAGAAAAAGTTAACTTAGCTTTAGAATTGATTGATAAGCTAGAGAGTAATTACTCAAAGGTCGATGGAGCCATAAAAACAAAAAGATCCATCGAAAAGGAAATGAAATTTCTTCAAAAGGTTTGATTTAATTAATAATTTTGAATTTCACAAGAACTAGTAATGTTTATTCTATTCTACAGCTTAAATCAGTGAATGACATTGAAAGTGTTCGAAGGCAACTCCATTGCACGAATTTAAACTTTTACAGTCATTTAGTAAATTCATTAGATCGGTACTCAAAATATCACAAAGTTTCAGCAATAGCACAAGTTAAAAGGAGAAATAGTGACGACAAGGCAATAAGAATTGATATCGTCTGTGATGATAGTAATGAAGTCTTATGGATTAAGATTATAGCTCGTAACAGTGAATCAATAATTGATGAAGTTATGGGCAGATGTGAATATGGCTGTAAAGATGTGCTGGAAGTTGGTGAAGAATATTTAGATATAGCACTGGATACGGAAGTAAATTTCTTTCGACCACCAAAAGTTATTTTTGATTTCCTTAATCCTGTCGATGAGAGTATCGAGAATGAATTAGAAGAGAATGGAATAATTTTAGGTAGAAAGTATCAAGCATGTGAATCTCTAAGAGATGATCAACAAGTGTCAAAAACATTAAATGTCGATGTATCAACAATGCTGGCCTATATTAGTGAATTGTCAAATGGTGGAATTAATTATAAGTTTGATGAACAACTTTTAGAAGATCAAGTAGCTGTTGAACGAAAGGAACCAATTAAACCCGTACTCGATAAGATTTTTGATGGGAAGAAGCTGATTGCATGCGAAACTGCTGTGAAATCATTCGATGAGATAATCAAACTTCTTGCTGGTCCAAATGAGACACGACGAGCTGAAGAATTCAAAAGTCGCATCACAGTCCTTACAGATGTTGAACATCCAGAAGAAATTATAAATTTAGACTTGTCAGCACAAATTAAGGAACGTTCAAGAAAAATCTTCGCTTTTGGAATATTTCATAAAGCAGTGACTGCATCCTCAAATTGTGGCTTTAAACGAGCTGCAAAGATGAAGAATTTAGATATCCCAATTATAAATCATTCTGCACGAGCGTTGAGTGAACTGAAACAACGTGAAAAAATTGACACTTAATAGCTGTGAATTAACATTAAATCTATTTTGTTGATTTAAACCTGCACTTTCAGAGATTATTGTACTACAATACTTTTTTCTAAATCCTTAATTTGCTAATTATTTGTTACACAATTTCGAATATATCTTTTTGGAAGACAGTAAATTTCAGTACGATTTGTTTCGAGTTATTAAATTCAGTTCTATGTTGTATGACTTAATTTATAATTTTGGAACCGATTCGAGCTGTAAAAAAAGAGAATTGGAATGTCATTGAAATAAATGTTAAGTTCAAGATTAGAATTTGCAGTTTTAGTAAATTTTCTTCGATTTTAGGTTTGACAGTTAAAAATTTGAATTTCAAAATTCCAGATTTTCATTGGAATGCTTCAAATATTCCAGTTGTATTAATTTTACTGGAAAGTTCCAATACAATTTCTGGAATATATTCCAAGCTTCCAGTTGAATCAAAATTTTTAAATGTCAGAAAACCGTTACTTTCAAATATTTTAAAACGGTTAATTTTAAGCATAAATTATCTACTCACAGCAATATTAGTAATCAAATGCCCTTTCTTCATTCTTTGTTCCTTAAGACGCGCCGCAATTGGAGGCATAAATAAATCATAATTAATTAAATTCTTATTGCCATCGATGTAAACTTTATCAGTTCCATGATAATTCATAGCCTTAAGTATCACGCTTGCAAAATATCCAACAAAAAATGTGATGAAAAATCCAATAACGACAGTATACCAATAACTTAGTCTAAATAAATAAAAGTACCTAAAGAGAGACCGGAATTAAGGTTTGTAGATATAAAATTGTCAATTGCTATTTACTCTTCACTACTTCTAGTGCTTGCAGCTTGTGGAATGATTCGAGTTAAATTATAAATATTAAATTGCGAGCAGTCTTCGAGATTGACCTGTAGTGGCTGTAAATGGCACAAAAAGTACAATTAAGAACTTAAATTGAAGGAAAACTCAATCAACTTACAATCGCTCTTGGTTTGTCAGCAAATCCAATTACCAGTGAAGTGAGAACACCAGAAAATAGTCCAATAACTGATCCATACTCATTAGGACTTAAAAAACTCATACCCAAAGTGAATAAAGCCAGTAATGGACCTCCAACAGCACCAAATATTGTCAAAGAAATTTGTAAAATGCCACCAAACTTTTCTGCCAAAAATGCTGTTCCAATGCAGATGAAGCCATAAATTCCTGCAATAATTTTAGTTGGAACTGCTGACCTTGATTCATCAACCTGCAGTTCCTTTTTTGATACAAATTTGTACATAGGCTTGAAATAATCCTCTAAAGTAACAGCTGCCAATGAATTTAAGCATGACGAGACAGTACTAAGTGTGGCTGAAAATACTCCAGCAACGAATAATCCAGTAATTCCAGGAATGTGACCAAGCACATCCATAATATAAATTGGCATCATTTGATCTCGACTTGTGATCCTTTTTGCCAGCAATGGATCACAATTCCTGTAGTAATAATAAATAACAAGTCCACTAAATGACGTAGTAATTGATAATAACAATAATATAGGCCAACTCCACCAAAGTGCTCGCTGTGCACCTTTTAAACTTTTGACCGTCATTAACCTTTGAACTTGAGTTTGATTCACAGCATAGAGACTTAAGTAAGTAAACATTCCACCAATAATTAATGAGAACCAAGAATGTCGTTCAGTTGGATCTGGATTAAAGTTCAGCAATTCCCATCGACCTCCTTTCTTTGCTTCTTCGATTATATTTCCAATACCACCAGCATAGTTTATTCCCGATATTATGACTAAGAATACAGCCACAAACATCAATATTGATTGAAACACATCAGTAAGCCTGCAAAAAAGGTAAACAACATTAATTTGATAAGAAATTAGTTTCATGAAATCATTGAAGATTTATTATTGCTACGCATTTTGATCAACCTTTGCCTTGACTTAGTGACATTGAGGATTGAAAATCACGTTTCACTTTTTAACCGTCAATTTGAATTTGAATTTTGGAAGGTTTTTTTTGAAACAATTCGAATTTTTGAAAAACGTTAGAATTTGAGTTTTTGAGAACCGTTAAAATTTTAATTCTTTTTTCAGCCCAAGTGATCTTAAATTGGATATATGTATGTATCTCAGTTGATCTATCTACGCTGAATAAAAACTCAAGTAAACAAGAATCTTTAAGTGATACTTTACTGAATCTGATGATACAATACAAAGAAATATTGGGTACAATAAACAAGAAACATTGTCAGACAGCGATTCTTATAAATTGAATCGACAAATAAATAAGAAGGCAGACTTAAATAACATTGCGAGGCCTCAATAATCACACAAAAATATTACGCATAGTAAAAATACTCACAGAACAGCCTTAATACCCCCAATACAGCAATAAATAATGACAGTGATGCCAATAATAATTATAGCCAGTTCCTTATCAATTCCGACCGCAGATTCCAAAGCCAATGCTGGTGCATAAACGACAATTCCCATATATAATATCATTTGTAGAGAGTAAGCTAGAGATGCGGATAGACGAGCAAGCTTCCCAAAACGACATTCTAGGTACTACAAAAAATGTATAATAATAATTAATGCATTAATGTGCGTGTCTAAGTGATTTAAAATTACCTCATAAGCACTTGCAGCTTGAAGTTTATAAAACACAGGCAGAAATAAATTAGCAGCAATCGGTGTTGCAATTAGGTACGCGAAATTAATGACGATAAATTGTATACCGAACATGTAAATTTCACTGGATACTCCCAATAGTGTAATTGATGACATGAAACTGGCCATAAGACTAAATGCAACGGGCAAAACCTTAAACAAGATGAAAATTGAACCATAATGAAGATATCTGTAAATTATGAATTAAAAACTTACTGTCATGCTGCGATTGGCTAGAATAAATTCATCATTGGACTTTTGTCGATTTCCCGTGCATCGAACATATCTGTAAGTTTGTGATTATGTCGATTATTATCAGTAAATCATTAAGCATGTAAAACTTACAATCCAATTCCGATAGAAACAAGCAGTACAGCAGCAACGACAACGTAATCAAGTGCACCGAAAGTCATAACTGACAGAACTTAACAATATCTGGGAATTGATTCAATGTTATGTAAATTAATTAAAGATTCAGTGACTTTTTTGACACAATTCATGAATTTTAATTACTTTTAATAGAAAACACAATAAATGGATGATAAAAACTTAATATATCAATAAAATTCACTTTGTACTATACTATTGTGATAAATTTAACATAAGTTGATATACTTTAAGTAAGTTCTTTAATTAAAATCGCGGTCAGTCCATTTTTTACTTCACGCTGAAAACAAAATGTTTTCAAAGTCAAAGAGAGCACTAAAACAAAAATCACAATCACTGATTGATGTGTTATATGAGCATAAATTAATTTCCATCCATAAAACACTTAATTAAAGCAGAAAAATTCGGAAATTTAAAATTTATTCTTAGCGGTTTTTCAAAAATTTGAATTTTCCAGTGCAGTTTAATACTTTGTCAATGATGTTTATGAGAAAAATTAAAAAAATGACAAGAACTCGTTGAATTCACTGTTTAATACAACTTATTGAGCATGATATTATCAAAATATACTAATTAAGATTAAAACTAGACAAACTGAAACTTTTAAGCACTGACACATCAAAATTTCGTGTGAAACAAGTTGAAAATGGGACATTTTTCGCACGAAACTTCGAATCCAAATAAACAATCAAAAAGTTGTTATTATAAAAACATTAAAAATTAAATTTACTAAGGATGGCACAGAAGGAGCGCTGGAACGAGTCAAAAACAAAGAATTTCATTAACGCATATCTTCAAAAACCAGCATTGTGGGATGCTAGCAGTAATGGATATTCGCAAAAAGCTGAGGTAAATATTAAGCGTTAAAACATCCAGTTATGTTAATTAAGTCGAAAGTTGCTTGATAATTTGGGTTAATGACTATACATTTATCATGGAATTAGGTCAAATATATGATTAGATTAAGTAGAACTGTCTTAAATCAACCAAAATTATTAAAAATGTTATCTTCCAGAAACTAAAAGCGTACGAGAGGCTTATGGATGAATTTGGACTGACTCTAAATGAAGTGAGGAATAAGATACGAATTTACAGAACAACATATATGCAGGAGAAGAATAAAGAAGCTACTATTGCCAATTATGTACCAAGATTAAGTTGGTACAATGACATGAAGACATCATTTAAGGAAGGACAGGTCAAATCCTTTGCTAAATCACCAATGAGACGAACGGAACTAGCTAGAGCTGTAAAGAAGGAAAAAGAACAGCATATTAATGCTGATCCAGTGTCTCCAGATATGCATTTTGAGTTCATTGATAATGACATGGAAACAGAAGATAATAATAGTATTAAGGCAGAACAGAATTCGTCAGTTCCAACACACATAATCATTGAGCCATTTGAAGAGGAAGAGGAAGAAGAACAAGAGCATCATGTACGAGAATCCAACTCATTCTCAAAAACCTCGCATAATTCAGACACAAAGTCGAAATCCAGCAGTCTTTTATCATCCAACGAGCTATTCCTTCAATCCCTAAAATCAACACTTGACAATTTACCTGATGAGAAGAATATGAGAGCTAGAATTAAGATACAAGAAGTTTTATACACGATTATGTATGAAAAGCCATAGAATTTAAGTTTCTGTTTTAAATGTCTTAATTATATTACAAAAATCAATGCACATTATTTGAGAATAATAATAAGAACATTGGGGTGACTGGCTTAATTGAGCTGGATCTTTCTGTTTCGAAATGTTTAAGCTAGTTTTGAGCTATTGGATGTGATTATGTTTGATCATATAGGTCACATCCATTCAACTTTCTCAAACTATGCAGCATAGCATCTAGTAACAAAGATCCAGCTCAATTAAGCCAGTACATTCCTTTTGATCGTAAAAACCACAAAAAAATCAACCTTGGAGAGCTTTTGACTTGTTCTTTACTCGTTTCACCTTCTTCAGTCCATCCATATTAGCCTTCATTATCTTTCCATATGATTCCATCACTTTAGTTATGTCTGATTTCTTAACAACTGTTGATAATTTCTTGTTTTTTGCCTTCATTCTTATCAGACAGTAATTTTCAGCTGGTTCTGGATGTTGCGGTCTTCCCTCTCTCGGCGTTGGCTTATCAATTCCATCATCTTTAAACAATCAAATTGATTTATGGCTGATTTAAAGCAGATTAATTAGATTAACTCACATTGTTTAAATGTTAAAGTAAATGCACTCTCATTTCTGACTTTTTGAGCTAATATCGTCACTTGCGTGAGAAACTGTGGATTAATAGACATGTGAACTTGTTGACATTTTATGAATTAACTTAATTTACCTCATTATATTGCAGTAAAACCATTTTAACTTCTATTTAAAATATTTCTTAATAAAAACTTTGAAATGATGTGACACAGCAGCTGCCAGAGTTGGAATGGATGTTGTTGTTTTCGTGCTGATTAAACTATTTACTTACATTGATCTTGAAAATGAGTGATATTGTTGATGAAAGTTGAATAAAGTAAAAATGAGGAGATACAGAGAAGTTTTTAATTAAAGACAATGGAAGAAGATAATAACCGTTATAGGAAAATTCAATTTACCAACTCTGGATAGGGGGTGCGAAGCTGCGATAAAATTAAGGGCCTTAATTTTGATAAAAAGAAAAGAAAAGTTTGGTGAAAAAAGGAAAATAATTAAATTGAGGCATTAAAAAGTGAAATAAACTATAATTAAAGTGATTAGTGAATTGTTAAAAGACTAAAGAACAGTTTAAAGTTAAAGTTTTATGTTGAAATCGACTTTATTGAGTAAAATTCGTAAAATTGAACTTTATAATGGACGAAAAAATTAATTTTATAAGACATTATCAAAATTCTATAGAAAAATCAAAAGACAATTTAGAGCGAGTAAGTATTATTTAATTCAGTTACCATGAAATTTACGTTAAGCAATAGATAGTCTTGCACACGTTTCATCTTTTGATGTAAACCGACTACTTTCTAAATTAGACAACATTAATTCTTATCTTTGACGTCACTTTTCACGTATTTCTCATCATAATTTTGCTTTCTCACTCATATTAGGTCTTGCATTGTTTAAAGAAGCTGCAGAATTTGCGAATTAATGTACAAGATTTGTAAGTATTGAGGATTTCTGGATCAGAAACAAGGAATTAAGTCATTTAACACGTTATTTCTTGCAGACAAGAAACAGGAATCGGTAAAACTGTTAATTCACTTCGAGAAATAGACGGAGAAGTTGGTGAACTAGCATCAGCACTCATCACAAAGTGGAAGCAGTTAATTAACAGTGAGTTTCTGATCTTGTTTCATATAAAAATTTTTTGTTTAAAATAAGTTTTAAAAATTTCCAAATATTGAATATAAACAGAAATTGAGATGTGTCTTTGTTAAAAAGTATTATAAAGTGATATTAATAGATTGATTCAGTTTATATGCTGAAAAATTCTCTTTATAAAGTACATAAAAGTTCACAATTGCAAAAAAGCATGTAAAAATTCAGCACTTAAAGTTAAATTTTGTTTTTTTTCGAATAAAAAGATCTTCAAGAACTAGAAATCTTCGATATAATTGAAGTTAATTAAATCTACAACGAGTGTAAGTTCAAGAAAATCAAGCAAAATGAGAAGAATTAGAATTTTTCCAGTTAATATGGCAAGATACAGAAACCCAAGTAAGTCACTTAATTTACGACAATCCAGAAGTTTCAAATGCTTTCTCACTGTTGAGGAAGCATTAACAAGACAAAAGGAAGAACACATCATCCAAGTCTTGGTGATTAAATCCAGAAATAAGGAAATCAAAATTCTGATAAAAATGATTACTGGATCTTCTTGTTGAGCTCTTCAAGCTCCTAATTATTATGCATTCGTTTCTTATCGTCGAAATTCTTTGAACTGTATCTTTAATCATGACTACATTATCAAATTACTTCACTGGATGAGCTTTTTTGAAGCTACAATTGCTTAATTATAGACGATTTTAGCCGTTGATAAAGTATATTTCGGTTATTGCCTTCTTTCGTGCATCAACTTTCCGATAAGACCTAAAATGCTGATAAAATCGTGCGATTCAGACACAAAAAATTAACAAGATCCAGTTGAAATCTTTCATTTATCAAAATTTCTGTGCATAAAGTGTGAAATTATTCAACGCAGCTGTCAGCTGCAACGTGTGACATAACAAGCGCAGCATGTGTAACGGGTAGAATTTGCTAATTAAGCAAGCATTGACCGTGAAAATGTAGAACTTTAAGTCTGCGAAATATATTGTGTAGTGTGCTATTTTTGAAATGTTCTGATGGTCAGCATTAAAAGTTGAAAGCTTCTTTGCTTTTAATATTGAACAATAAATATGCAGCATAAATAATAGCTTGACAAATCTATGATTTTTCCCACAGAAATTGCTTGACATAGACAGAATTTGAAATACACATTAAAAAGAATTGAGACTTCTAATCAATGTGGTTTGTGGGCAGTTTAAAGATAAACTATTCACAAACAGCTGTATTTAAAGTTCAGTCTGTTCTTCGTTTTAATTGACCGTTATTTTCGTTTAAATTTGAATTTACTCGTTAAAGTCCAAGAAGCTTTTTTGGAAAAAATTTGACAGTTATTTTTTAATTTTTTTCTGACCGTTATTTACTGAAACCATTTCATCTTTACATACTGAAAACCTTAAACTAATAGAAACTTATTTAATTCACAGCAATGAATGACGAGGAAGAACACAAGTTCGAACCCCCTCATCCTCCACCGCGCGAGAAGATCGAACCAAAGAAACCAGAAAAGTCGTCATTAGAGAGTTCGAATGGCACTAAAAAGAGTTCAAAAAGTTCAAGCTCTTCGTCATCAAATCATCACCATTCGAGCTCATCGAAGCAAAAGCACACAAATCATTTAAGTTCAACAAATAATCACCAATCTAGTTCGTCAAATCACAATCATCATTCGAGTTCGTCAAGTTCTAATCACCATCATCACTCAGATCATAAACATAAGGAGCATAAGAAGAGCCCCGATAGCAAATCATCGGAAAGTAAGCATCACAAAAGTCATCACACTTCCTCATCCTCATCATCTAGTCATAAGACATCAAATTCCCATAAACGTAGTCGTGAGGATGCCGAATCCAAAGAGAATGAATCAAAATCAAAAAAGGTGAAAAGTGACCATGAAAAAAGTGATAAAAAGTCTAATGGCAGTAACGATGTAAAGAAATCGTCACCAACGAGCAATGGAACTAGCAGTAAATCGACGAAAAAAGAACATAAATCATCGACAAAGCGTAAACATACGGAAGTGGTAGAACAAGAGTTTGATGGAGCTAGTGGAATGGGATTTGCTGAGGCACTAGGAATGGCTGATATGCCTTCGTCGTCTTCATCAACTAAGCGACCAAAGCATGATCAATTCGCTGATAAAATAACAATAACTAAGTCGAGTAGCTCATCAAGCAAGTCAAAATCGTCATCTTCATCAAGCAAGAAAGAAAAGGAAAAGGATAAACCTTCAACATCATCAGCATCATCAAGTTCTCGTCCATCAACATCAAAAGCAGCTCAAAATTATACTCAAGCTCCGAAATTGCTTACTCAAAAACCAAAATTAGACTTATTATCTGATATAGCAAATGAACTACCAAGTGACGTATCAATACCCGAATATCGACCAGTACCATTAAACTCAGCTATGAAGGATTACATTAATCAGAATTCTAATGGAACAGCAAGTACAAGTCGTCATACTCGTAATTTAACTGAAAGTGAACTTCTCATTGAATCATTCTCATCGCAAAAGAGTCGTACACGAGTCTTTAGTGGAAATTGTCGTGCTCGTTCAGAGATTCCAAAGCTTTACGAATTGTGCTTGCGAGTATTGACCGATAATTTAGATTATGTTGAATGTACTGGCGGGGTTCCATTTGACATTTTACGACCAGCTTTAGAAAAAGCAAAACCTGATCAATTAGCTAATATAGAATATTATAATCCCTACCTCCTTGACGACTCTGACATTTTATGGAAGCCTCATTGTCAACGAACGTGGAAGAATCGACATCCAGCTGAAATGGAGTCATGGCGTGACATGTACGAGCGCTGTATTCGAGAAGATGCAGAAAAGTTGACTCGATTGACAAAAAATATTAAAGTATCACAGGATACTCTTTCAAGTAGTGTACAAAAAACTAAAATGGCTTTTGTGGATACGATGGTTAAAGCACCGCGAGGCGTTGCTCGGAAGCAAGAACAATTTGGTACAGCTAATAAACCAGTTGTAAGTCCGGCAGCACGAGTTGAATCTTTGAGGAATGTTCAGCCTAATCTGGCTGTTCGAGGCGATGTTCGATTACGAGTAGCAGCAGGTCTACGTGATGATGCACAGCAGCGTAAGTTGAATTACTTTTATTTTCTTTCATGCCTGCATAATTTTTAAAGTCAAATTTTAATAAATTACTTCACTTTTTCAAATATTATTGGACCGTTATTCAACTTTAATCTATTTCTTCAACAGTTGGACGAGGAACCGTGCAACGTGCTAATTTGGTAAAGAAGGCTCCTATGATGGCAAAAATATTGTCTAAATTCAAGCGTTAAGTTTCTAATTTTAATAATCTTTAAATCTATATCCACATAGGACAAGAAAAATAAGAATAAGAAGAAGAACAGAAAATGATTATTTGACCTTATGTCATGATGAGATTTGAAAATGATAGTAATATAAGAAGTCAGAAGAATAGGAATACGGCACGATTTAGAAAAGATGTGCGAAAAAAATGCAGTGAAGCAGTGTGAAGAATTTAATCACCACAAATATTTTTGATTGTATCTTTTTTTTGAGAATTTTATTTTATATGAAGTATTGAATTATCCGTTAAATGAAGGAAATTCCTAGAATTTAGTTTCAAAACGTAATGATTTTAATTATTTCTGACTCTATATTAGTTTTAATCTCTTGACTGTCACGAAATGACGATGTTTTGTGACTTTAAGATGTAATTACGTAAGAAAATTTGCCTGAAAATTCACAGATTTGCTTAAAAATCATGTTGAAAATTAAGGACATTCAAGATGCACTCCGATTCTTCCATATATTCTCACTAATCCTTTTGAAGTTGTGCTGACGGAACTGAAGTTATATTCAGAATATTCAAGATGGTCAACAGCTAGTCCAGGAATTCGATAAACATTGAAAGCAAGACCTTGTTTGCATAAAGTAAGGTTAGCTAGTGCATTTCTAGCTTGTAAAATCTCTTACTTTCAGTTCTTTTGCAAGGAAAGAACACGAATGGACACAATCCTGATTTTGTATTTCAGAAAGCTGCAAGGGCTTCTAGAAACGTCTTTATAAAAAAGCTGCAAAAGATCCAAAGTTCTCAATTAAAATAATCATTTTCAGATCTCACGAAATAAGAATTCAAAAACTTAAATTCTATTGTAGCTGTAAACTGTTTGGTAGACAAAGGAAATGCTAAGATTACAAACACGTTGTATATTTTTTCTTGTTTAAATTGAAAAATAGCAACAAAATTAAAATGCTAGAAAAAAATGTTTAAAATAAATAAAACTATCAAAGTAGAACTTGTTTAAAACCACAAAATGCTGTCTTTTATTTAATCTTAATTTAGTTTTGTTGACATTTTTCATAGGTCATAAAAAAGCTATAAGCCGATCAAAATCATAAAAGGAAAAGTGAGGACTTTCCACTTGTTGACGTAATCATGATACACAGTTTTTTATGGACGCTACCTTTTTGAAAACATATTTATGGTTGTGCATAATAGGATTTCTTTCAATTTTCAATAAAGCAAATAGTATCATAGCACAGTTGACAAGATACAAAACACAAAGGTAAGTTTAGACACTTTGGCTTCTGAACTGCATCAGTTTAAGACGTAAAACTAAGAATTAAACCATTTACTTCGCTCAGAATAATATCAATTATGTAGACAGAATGAGAAAGATACGAGAGCCGTAAATTCACCATGAAGGGCTTTTACTAAAACGGACCTGAAGACATTGTGACCTACTGAAAATTGAAACAAATTGGCAAACGAGAGCCGACATGAACACTAGTTCAAAGCTTTTAATTTGAAGCTGGACACACAACTGCTAGTGAAGATTATGCGCTATACACTGAGCTAACGTACATAATATAGGCTGCTGCTTTAAATCACCCGAAACTCATAACCACCGAACAATCTTTTCCAAATCACACGCTAAATGAAAATCACGGGATTTCATAAACACCGCTTGGAAATGTTATCGGTGGTTTTGAAAAACAATGATTCTCAAATCCACTGCTAATAATTCCAAGCGGTGGAAAAAATCACACATGTGTTTATAATCACCGCCTGTATTTATAGGTGGTGGTTATGAGATCACGTGTGATTTATTTCACCCGAAATTTTCGACAATCAGGTGATTTGAAATGTGTATAAATTTTTCGTATCTATTTTTCTTATACAATTTTCACTATTTTGCTAATTATTTGGATCTCAAGAAAACAATATAAAGGTAAAATCATTAAAAGTACCTCAATCTAGAAATCCCTAAAATGAAGCTACCCTAAAATGCAGATAGTACTGCCAAGATGCAGATGGTACTGCTAAAGTGCAGATGAAATTTATTTTCCCAAAAATGCAGATGAAATGCTGTTGCTTTAAAAAAGGTATAATGCAGATGATTTTTATCGTATAAAGCAGAGATCGAAGCCGATTTTTTCGGCTTAACTCAATTTTTGATTTTTTTGATAGAAAAAAGCCATTTAACACCCATTTTAAGTATTTAAATTGAACTTTACATACTTTACTATGATTCTGTGAAATATTTTTTCAGCATGTAGCTATAGTAAGCTCTGAATTTCAATTTAGCCGATTTTAAGCCGATCGGCTTAAATTTCGGCTTAACATTCTTTAACTTGAAATTCTGAGCTCACTATAGCCACATGCTGAAAAAATATTTCACAGAATCATAGTAAAGCATGTAAAGTTCAATTTAAATACTTAAAATGGGTGTTAAATGGCTTTTTTCTATCAAAATAATCAAAAATTGAGTTAAGCCGAAAAAATCGGCTTCGATCTCTGGTATAAAGTGCAGATAAGATGCTGCCCAAATGTAGATCGTATAATTTTATTAAAATACATCATATTCGATGACCTTTTTTTTGATACGTGTTAACAAAAAAAAAATTCCATACAAATTTTCACCTTCAAGTGATTTAAAATCCCAAACAAATCCCGATACAAAATGATTTAAATCATAAATCAAAAATAAATCACTTGGGTAATGTTTGCAATGTATTCAAAAATGCATTTTTGTTTTTCTGAACTATTTTAATAACAAAACTAGTTTATCGGGTAGAAACCCAATGCGGATATATTCGCACCGTACCATAAAAAGTCTTGTGGAAAGACCAAGCTAAGCTCAGTTTTAATTTGAAAGTATAAATCCTGACGAACCAGTTGAGTTGTGCTCAGCATATGTTTGGAGGTTTAAAGCTTAACGAGCATTCTTTAAAGTTTTTTAAAAACATGTTTCATCGAAAGTTTAATTTTATAAAAATCACAGTCAACTTTTGTTTTAAATAATTTGTAAGAAAGGAAAGTTTTTTTGCTTTTTCTGAAGCAACGACTGTTCCTACCTTGCCCAAAAACTATACAGCTATTCTATAGAGCAGCACAGATCAAATGTAAAAAAGTAGAAGTCTCTACAATGTCTCGTTATTGAGATTTCTTGCTTGTTTGCTTACAGAAAGCGTATTTTGTGATTTTCTCAGCAATGCCACAACCAATATGAAATCTATTTTTTTGAAAATGATGTAAAATTTCAGGTACAAACTTTATTTCTGAAACTTTTTATATTCACACCGTTTTCACATGTGAATCTATTGGTTTTTTCAGATTGAAAAATCAGTTTTTTGAATTTTGTGAGGATATGGAGCAATAAAGCTTAAAATGTTCAGAGATGAAAAGTTTGTGCCTGGAATTTCACATCTTTTGCAAAAAACAAATTTCAAATTGGTTGTGGCATTGATGAGAAAATCGCAAAATATGCTTTTTGTAAGGGGCCATTCACTTATTACGTAACGCTTTTAGGGGGGGGGGGGGGTCTTAGATTTTGTTACGGTTCAAACAAGGAAATTTTTTTTTCATACAAATTTTGTTACGAGGGGGGGGGGGGTCTAAAAAGTCATTTTTTCGCGTTACGTAATAAGTGAACAGCCCCTAAGCAAGCAAACAAGCAAGTTAATCAGCAAGAAATCTCAATAACGAGACATCGTAGAGACTTCTAGATTTTTACATTTGATCTGTGCTGCTCTATAGAATAGCTGTATAGTTTTTGGGCAAGGTAGGAACAGTCGTTGCTTCAGAAAAAGCAAAAAACTTTCCTTTCTTACAAATTATTTAAAACAAAAGTTGACTGTGATTTTTATAAAATTAAACTTTCGATGAAAAATATTTTTAAAAAACTTTAAAGAATGCTCGTTAAGCTTTAAACCTCCAAACATATGCTGAGCACAGCTCAGCTGGTTCGTAAAGATTTAAACTTTCAAATTAATACTGAGCTAAGCTTGATCTTTCCACAAGACTTTTGATGATACGGTGCGAATATATCCGCATTGGGTTTCTACCCGATAAACTAGTTTTGTTATTAAAATAGTTCAGAAAAACAAAAATGCATTTTTGAATACATTGCAAACTTTATGACTTCAAATTACTTTGCTACACGAAATTTTGATGTAATTAGGAGGGGATTTAAACCATTTTACCCAAGTGATTTATTTTTGATTTATGATTTAAATCATTTTGTATCGGGATTTTTTTGGGATTTTAAATCACTTGAAGGTGAAAATTTGTATGGAATTTTTTTTTGTTAACACGTATCAAAAAAAAAAAGTCATCGAATATGATGTATTTTAATAAAATTATACGATCTACATTTGGGCAGCATCTTATCTGCACTTTATACAATAAAAATCATCTGCATTATACCTTTTTTAAAGCAACAGCATTTCATCTGCATTTTAGGGAAAAATAAATTTCATCTGCACTTTAGCAGTACCATCTGCATCTTGGCAGTACTATCTGCATTTTAGGGTAGCTTCATTTTAGGGATTTCTAGATTGAGGTACTTTTAATGATTTTACCTTTATATTGTTTTCTTGAGATCCAAATAATTAGCAAAATAGTGAAAATTGTATAAGAAAAATAGGTACGAAAAATTTATACACGACATTTCAAATCACCCGATTGTCGAAAATTTCGGATGAATTAAATCACACGCGATCTCATAACCACCGCCTATAAATACAGGCGGTGATTATAAACACACGTGTGATTTTTTCCACCGCTTGGAATTATTAGCAGTGGATTTGAGAATCATTGTTTTTCAAAACCACCGCTAACATTTCCAAGCGCTGTTTATGAAATCCCGTGATTTCGGTGGTTATGAGTTTCGGGTGATTTAAAGCGGCATCATAATATAGATTTAAGAATTATTAATATTAAGAATAAAAAATTGAAGAATGGCAATGCACAAAGTTGTAAGTGAAAAATACGTGTTAAGGAGAGAATCATAAACAATGAACACACGGACTAACATACAGAGAGAGGCAACATTTTTTAAAATCAGAGAGTCAGCAATATAGCAAGAGAGTTCCTCGCACCCTCATTTATGGTGAACTGGAAAAAATTCACCACAAAAAAACAGCCCTTGAATCTCCTATTCAGCATCAAAAAATATCCCTTAACTCTCTTGTCTGTTTATTACTCTCTCCATTACATCTTCTGTAGATGATAAGCGGCATTGCTCCTATGATTAGAAGAGCACAACAGTGAGAGGAATTTCTGTAAAAATCACACAAAAAAATATATTCGTCGTTCCTCAATTTTTCATGAAAGATTTTTCCAAATTTATCTCAGTGAGTATGAATCCTTCGTAGATCTCGGAACCGTTCTTAAGAAATATCCGCGAAATCGAATAAGAACAAGAAATTCTTACATTTAAGAGGAATTAAGTGTGTATCCTTTAAAAAATGAAAAAGATTAAAGGAATGAAAGAAAATAAAAAGTGGAAGTGATGAATTTATGAAAGCCAAATTAGCGGCAATAAATTTTTTAATAAGTGGCAAATCACAATTTATGGATGTACATGATAGCCATTCAGTGCACACACACGAGTCGAAAGTCGAGTAGTGAAAAAATTTATATGAGAAAAAAAGGCAAATGTCATAAATCATCAGGAGATGAGGATGTGTTGTGTAAAAAAAAATTGTATAGTATGAAAAATGGTTAAATAACTGCGAAATGTAATTAACCGTGTGAAAAAAGTTACGTCTCTCTGCACATGAAAAATGGATAAGAATGTTCTTTTTCCTCATATAATATATACCCTATGTCCCAAACTCTTGTTGGTGATGTCAACGGAGATGTGAAGTGGATAAAAAATTAAAAAAAAAAAAATTCTAGTGAAAAAACATCAAAAAATAAAAAAAAATCTTTCCTTAATGAATAATTCAATAAAAATATGATTCGCTTCATTGGATTATTGCTTACCTTTTTCGGATTAGTTTTGAATCATGCAACAACGACCAATGTGATAAAAAGCTCTGAGGATGAAAATAGTGAGTTTTTTTTTGTTTTTCCTCAATCTGCTGTATCCACATAAAGTTTTTCCTTCTTTAAGCATATTTAGCTTATCTCGATCAACGTAATTCCTCGTAAAATAATCTAGTTCCTTGAGATTTTCCGATTCAAAAAATTCTCATTCAAGTAGGTAGAATTCATCAAAAATGCAAATTAAATTCATTCTCGTTCTCGTTCTCGTTGGTTCTGACTCTCTCGAAAGTACAATAATTTCCAATTGACTTGGCAATTCCGTTTTCGAGTGCCACGAGCTTTTGATTGACGACAACTTAGACATTTTCTAAGGAAGCTCTTAATGATAATAACTTGAATGATCTCGTTTATGGAAATAAATGATCCTTTAGACCATAAAATTTTTGTCAAATTAGTATAATTTTGTGGCAACAATCGTTTAAATGCTTAATGATAGGTCTGTTTTTGTGAAATTTTAATTTATTCGTGATGAAAATAAAATTTGTTGGCTTTTCTTCTTGGCGGTTTTCTCTCGATTGCTGTTTAATGTCTTTAGCAAATAAAATGGAGAATAATTAGTGTAAAGGAAGTGAATTATGTTAATTTGTGAGCAATTTATGGATGTTTGCTGATGTTTTGTGAATTTAAATGTGAAAAACAAGTTTTTTTATTGAGAATCCAAAGCACATTTTATGTCCTCGAAACTACTCAATGAAGCTTTTTGGAAAGGAAAATGAAAATTCTGAGGAAGCGCCAAACATATTTATATTTTGTGAATATAACTATTCCAAGGGGAAGGGGGGGGGGGGGGGTTCAGACAGAAAAGAACAATAGAAATTCCTGGAAATGACCGTTAATTTCGGACGTCATAATTGAACGGCCCCTTAGTACTTCTCTTTTTAAATAGTAAAAATCTTCAAATTCATCACTGACATTAGATCATTTGATTAAAAATTCAAATAATTTCAAACCGTCAAACATAAAGTAAAGAATAAAGCATAGCAATTGTTTCGTGAAGACAATAAAGTTGCTGCAAAACTATGTTTACATGCCAAAGCTCCCCATTTTCTTCTACAAATACGTTCAACTTCTTCTGAGCTTTCCCACACAAAATATTTCAACATTAACCTACAAACTACTAAAACAGAAAATATTTCCATCCAAATGAACTAGTTACAAAAAGTCCCTTTTTCTCTACCTTCCATTTGAATCTATATTTATACATATACAGCACATTTTATCATCGCCTTTCTTCTTACGGTGTGAAAAAAAGTTTTTTTTCTTTTCTTTTCTTCTTTTTCTATCTTACGGCTTGTTGTGCCTTACACAACCCTATTTACTTTATTCTCATCTTTTTTCGTTATTCTTATTCTTTGTATATATTTTGGTCTGTGGGGTACTTTTGGAAGTTTGAGAAGGAAAAAGTAAAAAAAAAATTCTGAAACAAGGGAAAATTACATTCTCGTACTTAGCATAATTTAACTCTACATAAAAAAAGAAAAGAAAAAGCGTTAGAACATAGTTTTATTGTCTGTTTCATCTCATCGTGACCTACTCACAAAAGCCATGTCATGAGAATAAGAACGGAGTGAGACTGTCGCATTTAAATGACATGATGGTGGGGATATATAAGAAATTCTAGTAATGGCAAGTCAGTAACAGAAGGAGGAGGACATTTACAAATTATTGTGCTCAAGAATAATGTGAGAAAAAGGCTTGTGAAGAGAGAACACATTTTTTTTTCCTCCAGCCACTAACTGGATTTATGTTTGTCTGTGAAATATTGGGTTCGTTCAGTTTGGGTGAATTGTGGGCTATCCTTTTTGAACTTTGAAATGAATCTTTGTTTGAGTTCTCGGAATATTCCGAATAAATGAATTTCAAAGCTAATTTCATTGGATTTCTACGAAAAATTGCGTTGTGAAAAACTTAACGACTACCGATATCCAATTTCATTTTAATTAGGCTTTCGTTTCGAATTTCTTGTTGATTACTGAGTTTTAGTATATACGCAGCAGATAAACGGAGATTATCTTGTGAATTTGGATTTCATGTCGCAAAAAAACATGGAATTTTATTTAAGGTGAACTCTGTTCTGATCTAAACCATCCCGATCTGCACACATTGAAATGTTTTCCACCCGGCAGCATGGTTAAAAGCAACTTCCAAGTGGTTGCCACTTAGTTCTAATTATACTATCAACTCAGCTGTCGTGTGGCAAACTCAATGAGTTTCAATGTGTGTCGATCGGGCATGTCTTGAGGTTCTCTATAAAAAATGTATAACAGCGCTTAATTTATGTCCATAACTTGAGAAAAGTATTCCAAACTCACAGTTTATTTTTTGGGATGTATCTTGTTAAATACATTCGGCAACAGAATGGCAATGATCCATTTTAGTTCTTCTTAGTCTACCGAACGTCCGCAGAGATGTTATGTTACGCATTTTTACTTCTTATCATATGTCTGCCTCCCTCATCCTACTCATTTCTTTTCACTACTTGTGTATGTGTTTCTATTTGTGGCACATTTTTCATTTTGTACGAAAAAGAGAAGAAATATTGACTTCATAAGGATGTTCATACAAATCTACATGATTTTTTTTTGCACCCTCCCATGTGTGTGACCTTGTCAATTGCTTTATTACATGCTGCTTCTGATGTTGTCGACAATTTGTTGTGTACGAAAGAGGCAAAGAAGCAAAAATTTCTTTATTTGTCGAACCAAAACTCTTAATTTAATTAAAATGAAAGGCAAAAATTTCCTTTTGATATTCAAATGGAAAAACATGAAGATATTCAGCATTAAAGGCTGTTGTGCCTCTTTAGTCGAAAAGTTTAAATGCTTGTGAGAAAATAATATTTATTCTAATATAAATGCGCTTATCAAAACATTAATTTCAATAGGAAAATAGAAATGAGAGAACATTTTCAATTTAATATAGTCGCGTGGTTTGAGGGCTTCTCAGAAGCACTGAGCGAGTCGCGCATTTACTTTGTGAATCAAGTTTCAAGTGAAAAATTAAAATTTAATTTTAAATGTTCCTTGAAATTTTGATTATTAACACTACATAACATTGGCACTCATTTCTGCTTATTAATTAAATAGGTTTCGTTTGTTATAATTCAAATGTTAATTAACAGCAGATTTTATAAAAGTCTGAGTGAGTTTTCAATGAAATACAAGTGAAAAATCTTACTTTGATGTAAAGTATTTTAAGGGCTTCATTTTTAGCAGGTGTAAAAGCTTGAAATATTGAAAATGCTTACCTTTAGTGCAATTAGCATGAAAACCTTAAGAAGTGCTCTTTATTTTGGATGAATTTTTGAAAAAATTTGTTTTTGTTTTTGGCGCCTATACAATAAAATACAACAATTCAATCATCAGCACATCCAATAACCTAAGTAGCTGTCACAATATTTGATTGGCATACAAAAGTTAAAATTAATTTCCAATATTTAAATTCAAGCTAACCTCAAACTTCAGAAATCGATCTCACAAAAATAAAAATCAACCCTTCAATACCTTTTTCATCACATCATTTTCACTTGGGAGTTTTGCTCACAAACCCTTCAAAGTCAAAATGCCAATAACAACAACACAAGTTTCTCAAGAAAATGAAGAGCGAATCGTTTACGAGAAAGGGAAGTATTCAATGTTTATTTGCCGGAAAGAATTCTTCATAAACATATTCATCATTAACAAACACCATCACCTCATCTCACCCACCATCACATTACCACTTCCTTTCTCTTATTGTACTTTTCATTCCGTTCGAAAAGTATGGGTTCTTGTGCTTACTTATATTTATGATATCTATCATCATAAGGGTTGGTTCAATAATGATGTGTATTGAAGAATGAGACTGGTTGGCAGAGAGGCAACCCTTTAGCACTCAGAGGCCTTATGTTCATGCTGGTAGAGTCACCTCCCAATCTTCTCTGAAACCACATCACTTATGAACGAACCCCAATAAGAGCATTCCTTCAGCAAGGATGAGAATGAGGAAATGTTGATGGATGGGCTGAATGTGTTTGTTTTAATGAAATACATTGGTACATTAAACATTTTAAAGCTTTATTTTCGGTAGCTTTATTTTTTGCTATACAATTATTTACTGTGGATATATTTAGCACTTACTGGTTATAAATAACGAAACAAGATACGAAAACTGGCGAATTTATTGCCATGTTATTAATCTCTGACATCACCTATTCACTCCTCAGTTCCATGAACTTAAATTTTAAAGCACAAATCTCACGATTTCTCTTGTTATGTATTTCGTACCGATCTAGACACTTTTTCATGAATTGATGGTAAATGAGAAAAAAGCGACAAGCAACGAGAAATGGAACTTTTTTTCTATAAAGGCATGAAAAATGTTTAATGGTTCTTTTTTCCATTTCAATGTACCGCCATACAGCTTCTGAATGGGTGAGACGAAATAAAAATAAATTCTTGTATAGAACCATTTTTAAAATGGTAAGGAGGGCAGGCAGAAAAAGAGCAGGAAGAAGAACAAGCAAGTGAAAGTGTTTCCTTTCCTTTCTCTCGATTCAAATAACAATCCCATGAGCCTTCAACATTTTTTTTCTACTTCTTTATTTTCTAAAAGAGAACTTTTTTTGCTGCTTTTCTATTTTATATATTTTATGCCAGGATAGTTGGATAGGTGCTATTTGTTGAGTTAGGATTAGGAACGAAATGGTTAAAAATCTATCTGACTAGATTAAGTCAAATGAATTTAAGAACAACTAATATGGCAAGTAAAGTTGAATTCAAGGTTAGGGGTCGTTCACTTATTACGTTCGCATTTTAGGGCGGAGGGGGGGGGGGGGGGTGGGGGGGGGTTGAAAAATTGTAACAAAATGTAACATAGGGGTTCTGTCATCTTCTGTCTTTTAAAAAAAAGTTAACGAAAATAATTTGTTTACAAATTCACACCAAAAACATTTTTTTTAAATTTTCCACCTTTTAAATGATAAAATAAATTATGAACGTTCAGGGGGGGGGGGGTGTGAGTTGTA